CCCCCCCCCCCAAGCACTAGGACGGGAGTGTTGGTGGAGAGAACGAGAGTAGCCTGCAAAGCCAACCCCAATGCAGGAGGGCGGTGGGTAGTGCAGCAAAATACTGGAATTGACTTCTGCAGCCTTTGACCGTGGTGGCCACTTTCCTGGTTAAAACGGTCCGATTCTGCAGTGCGGTGCTCTTTCTCAGCCACCTCCCGCCTCACCGGAGCGCTCTGCGCAGGTATCAGCTGTTGCAGCCTTACCCCAGTAGCCAGAGTCTAGAAACGGAAAGATGTTTTCCGGAGCAGTGTGTGAGAAGGCGGGGGGGTACATGGGCAGGGAGGAGTCAGAAATGCAAGTATCGTTTGGGTCCATCCTGGGTGAGACATTTTTTTTATGAGCTTTATTTTTCATTCAGTCTCGTGAGTACTTGTGTGTTTTACACGGTAGGACCTAAGGCTTAGAAAGGTGAAGTGACTTGTCCAAGATCAGCTGAGGTCAAGTAGGAAAAGGACCTTTGTTACCTAAGAAGCGTGGCAAACAGCTGAAATGCTAGCTGTCACCACAACGAATTACTCTTCACTCTTGCTTTGTGGCTTTTAATGGCGCTCGTCAGCCTAACTTGTGTAACAGGCCTGTGTAAAGTCTCCTGTCGGTTCAGCAGAGGAAGGAGCAGGGATGAGATCCATCATTCCGGCATCATCCGAGAGACCCGATCCCATTATCAATTTCAGATACTGTCTTTTTCGTATAAACCTTTGATACGTTGTAGAAATTCCAGAGCGTTGGCGTTCGCACTGCTGTCCTGTATCTCATGTAGCGGCTTAGAGGATGCTAGCATTTCGCGTACACGGTCCTTCTCGGTAACTGCTCGTTGGCTTACTAGCTTGGAGAGAGAGAGCGCGTGCGCCGTGTTGAGGATCCTGGACTGTGAACCGAGGAGGGGAAGGCCTGGGAAGAGAGCGGTTCGGGCAGAGGGTGGAGCACACAGAGGCCTGGAAGTACAGTGCGCAAGAAAGAAGCGCATCTAGGAGCTGGAGGGGCTCTGTTGGGCCGGCATTTCCGGGACTGGTGGCACATTCAGGGAGGACAGAGACCAAGCCACGAATGGCCTTGTCTGTCTTGCTGAAGAGTTTGGATGTGGACCTTAAAGCGCAGGGATACCCGGAAAGACCTTCCAGCAAGGGATGGGACCAGCTGTGGGCTGCGGAGAGACCATGCCTGGCAGCAGCACGACAGACAGATCAAGAGGTTCAAGAACCCAGTTCGGGAGCTGTTGGGACAATCCGAGCTAGAAGGGAGGGCCTGTACTGTAGTGACGAGGAGGGGGTGGGATCGAAGTGTGGGGGTGCGTACGGGCACATCCACTGAAGTGTTAGAGGACAGACGCGTTTGAAGCGGCGGCTGGGACCGAGGTGTTAGGGCGTCTACGTGGAATTGTCGGTTAAGCGGTTGGCAGTGTGACAGATGTCACAAAGATCTATTAACTTGCCACAGATGTCCAGACCCTGTCCACTTCTTTCTGTGGGATCTTTAGTAAAGGACACCCGTCCCAGCCACCAGGGGTGAATCTGTAGTCTGACAGATGTATTAACACATAACCGGGGAGGGAGGCCACATATCAGAGGAACTGTGGGCACCTCACCAACTGGAGGAAGGGAGTCCTCCCCAGGCATAGGGGCAGGATGGGATACAGGCAAAATTGAAATGAAACAGGGCTGCATCTAAACAGGTCATTGTCAGCTCCAGACTGAGAAGGGGACCAAGGGTCCTGTTTTCTTAAAGGTGAACATCGTGTTCAGAAATCCCTTGAGATCCTGCCCCTGGGTTGGAAATAGAGGCTGCTGCTTTGTGTTAGATTGCCTTAGATCCTCCAGGCAAAGGTAAGAGGTTTCACTTTTATTGATAGAACCACTAAGAGCAAATTTCTGATAGTCTCTGGTTGCAGAGGACAAGGTTTCTTGGTGAGGCAGAAAGCAGTGGTCCCTTAGCGGGGTCTGTCAGGACGTTCTGTGGCTACGGTGTCCTGGGGAGAAATGGTCTGTCTCTCATTCCAGCTGGAGATAGGTTTACATTCTCAGTCTGATTTTCACTTAGGATTTAATTCTTAAATTATTTAGTGGAGCCTAAGGAAAGCTTTTATCAAAAGAACTAGTGTTGTTTATTCTGACAGTGAAGACGTGTAGTGTTCTGCCTTTGCCTGGTCTGCACAGCAGCTCAGATACAGACACGGAGAGTTTTGTGATTGACCTTGATTTTCTGCTGGAATTTTACTGTTTCAGGATATGGGGCTTTAAGATACTTCAAATTCCCTAGGCAAGAGGAGGATGTAAATAAGAGGACGTCTTTGAGTGGATGGTAAAATTTCAATAAATTAGTTTATAAGTAAAATTTATAAGTATAATTTTTAACTATGTGTTTCTGGATGAGATCACCTTGCTAAAAATATGGTTGGTGAACTACAAAATTTATTGAAACTACAGTTGATAAGAAAAACTTGTACAATGTCTTTAAATCATGAGTGTTATGACCTATGAACTCTCAGCCTGCATGGCAAGATTCATACATCCAGGCACAGGGGCATTTTTCGAGAAGGTTCATGGGTTCTTTGAAGTCTCAACAGGATCTATAACTCAAGGGGTCAGGGCTCACTGGTTTACATCCTCTTTGGAGACTCATATATCATATGCACAGATTCAAAATGATTCTAGAATGCAAATCACTTATACCACTTACTCAACTAAATCTGTGCTTTTGTTTAAACTGCAAAACTTTCCCTTCACTTTTTTTCTCAACAGATAAAATATTTTGATAAAAGAAGAGACTACTTAAAGTTTAAAGAAAAATTTGAAGCAGGACAATTCCAGCCTTCAAAACCGACTGTGAAGTCCTAGGCTATTCCTGAACTTGTCAGAAGGGTTGAAACGATTCTCTCTGCACCTGCAGCAATGCTCCGCTGACCGTGGCAATGATGGGACTCACCATCAGTACTTGTTCCACACGCAAATGGTCAAGTAACAGATTCCATCATTCACACTATGAAGAGTCGAAATGGTATGAAGTATGCTTAGTTTTAATGTAGTCAGAAATCTATATTTTAAGAAAAATTAAAGCCTATTGTAAAAACCCATGTACTCTTGTTTGTTTTGGTTGGAGCGTCAGTAGTAGGCAAATACAGGCAGACCTTGGAGATGGCGCACGTTCGGTTCCAGACCACTCGATAAGGCAAAGAGCACAACTAAGCAAGTCAGATGAATGATTGCTCAGGGTACATAAAAGTTACGTTTACACTATACTGAATTCTTAAGTGTACAAGAGCATTATGTCTAAAAAAACAATGCACATACTTTAAAAAAGATGATAACCATCATTTGAGCTTTCAGTGGGCTGTACTTTTTTTTTCCCTGCCGGTGGAGGGGCTGGTCTTAATGTGGACGGCTGACCAGGGTGGTGGCATTCTCTTGAAAGTAATGAAGTTTGCCCCGGGTTGACTCTTCCTTTTACAAGCGATTTCCCGTAATATCTTAATGCTGTTTGTTAGCATTTCAAGAACCTTGACAGCATCTTCACCACGGGTGGATTCCGCCTCACGAAACCACTTTGCTCGTCCGTAAGAAGCACCTGCTCATCTGGTCAAGTTTTAACATGAGATTGAAGCCGTTCGTTCAGTCCCGTCTTCGGGCTCCGCTTCTGATTTCCGTTCTCTCGCTGTTTCCACATCCGCAGCAACGCCCTCCCCTGAAGTCCTGAACCCCTCACAGTCATCCGGGAGGGCTGGAGTCAACTTCTTCTAAACTCCGTTAATGATGTTCACCTCTTCCCATGAGTCATGAATATTCTTCATGGCATCTAGAGTGGTGAGTCCTCTTCCAGGTGTGCTTTGCCCAAATCTGTCAGAGGGGTTCACTATTTCCGGCAGCTCTAGTGTATTTCTTAATAAGATTTGGGAGCTGAAATTTCGTGATCCACGGGCTGCAGAATGGATGCTGTGTTAGCAGGCATGAAAACCACAATCTGGGTGCCTCTCCAGAGCTCATAGGTGACCCGGTGTATTGCCAATTAGTAATATTGTGAAAGGAAACTTTTTGAGTAGGTTTAAAACCTGCAGTAAAACTATGTTGTAGACAGATGTGTTGTCATCCAGGCTCTGTTCCATTTATACAGCACAGGCCTTTATTTTATTATTATTATTTTTTTACTTTGATTTTAGAGAGTGGGGGAGAGGGAGAGAGAGAATCCCAAGCAGGCTCCATGCTCAGCACAGAGGCTGATCCCATAACCCTGGGATCATGACCTGCGCTGAAATCAAGAGTCAGACGCTCAACCGACTGAGCCACCCAGGCGCCCCAGCACAGGCTTTTAGTTAAAGGCACTGCGTTTAGTTAAAGCTGCGTTAGCCCCTAACAAGACAAGCAGCCTGTGCTTTGAAGCCAGGCACTGATTTCTGCTCCCTAGCTAGAGAAATCGTAGATGGCCTCTTCTTCCAATAGAAGTTAGGCAGTTCTGCCTACACTGACAATCTGTCGTTGAGTGTAGCCGCCTTCACTGATGATCTTGGTAGGTCTGGATAACTTGCTACCTCACTTTGTACTTTGAGGTTATAGAGACGGCTTCTCTCCTTCAACCGCATGAACCAGCCTCTGTGCGCTTCAAACTTTTCCTTTGCAGCTTCCTCACCTCTCTTGGCCTTCATAATACTGAAGAATTAGGACCTTGTTCTGCATTCGGCTTCAGTTTTAGGGAACGTCGTAGCTGGTTTGATATTCCCTGCACACCGCTCAGATTTTCTCCGTATCAGCGGTAAGGCTGTTTCGCTTTCTTATTATCCATGTGTTCACTGGAGCAGCACTTTTTAACTTCCTTCAAGGGTTCCTCTTTGCATTCACAACTTGGCTGTTTGGCAAAAGAGACCCAGCTTTTGGCCTGTCTTGGCTTTGGACATGTCTTCCTCACCAGGCCCAATCATTTCTGATTTAAGGTGAGATGTAGGATTCTTCCTTTCACTGGGAGACACTGTAGGGTTATTAACTGGCCTAATTTCAGTGTTGTTCATTCGTTCTCAATTGCCAGTCAGTGGAACAGTCAGAACACACACAGCTTTAAGTTTGCCACCTTCTATGGACACCCTCATGGTGCCCCAGAACAATTACAATAGTAACGCCAAAGATCACGGATCACTGTAACAAATATAATAATGGAAACGTTTGAAATACTATGAGAATTACTAAAATGTGACACAGAGACATGGAATCAATGGTGTTGGCAACATGACATCAACAGACTTGCTCAACAGAGTTGCCATAAACCTCCGATGTCTAAAAAAAAATGCAGTACCTGAAAAGTGCAATAGAACGAAGTATACCTCTATAGTTAAGATAGTGAAGAAAGTCGGCTGGTGTGTGTCCTGGGAATTAGCATTTTAATATAGGCACAAAAAAAATGAAGACTGGAAGAAAAAAGTCGAACTTAAAACATAGAGGTAAAATAACAAAGACCATCTATAAAAAAAACCCCTACAGCGAATATCATACTTAATGTAGGAAGATAATACATGCTTCTTCCCTAAAATCATCCGTAGGGTAAGGATGTCCCTTCTCATGTCTGTTCAACATTGTGCTGGATTCCTAGCTGCTTCAAAGACAAAAAAGAGAGAGCATACAAATTGGGAAGGAAGAAATGAAACCGGCTCTACGAACGTAAGACACAACTGACAAATGTGGTAAGTTCACCGTCTTCCGTGGGCATGCTTAACTGCTCCCCAAGACAATTTCAATAGTGATGTCGAAGATCACGGAGTGCAGGTCACCGTAATAAATATTATAATGAGAAAGTCTGAAATATTACAAGAATTAGGAAAATGTGACAGACACAAAGTGAACCAGTGCATTGGAAATACGATGCCTAAAGTCTTGCTGAACACAAACTTCAGTTTGTGGCAATGATGGTGTCTCTGTAGAAAGTCTCAAAGCACTGACCAAAAAGCTCCTAGAACCGAGCGAATCTTAGACGGCAAGAAACAAGGTTAGACGGCAAGAAACAAGGTCAGTATACGCAAGAAAATCCTATTCCTGTAGACCAACAATGAATAATTGGAAGTTAAAATAAAAAACATACCATTTATAGTAGCACTAAAAAAATTAAAATACTTGACATAAATCTGCGTATAGGACTGTATGTGAGAACTACAAAGCCCAAAATATTTGAAGTCAGAGAAGATCTAATTAGATATACTGTAGTCAAGATTTAGAAAACTCGTCTTAATTTTCTCAATACTCTTAAATCCTCCCAATTTGTTCAACACAACCCTAATCAAAATCCCAAGCTTTTTTGTGTAATTATTGACAAAAGCTGATACTAAAATTCGCATGGAAAGGCAAAGGACCTAAGATAGCCAAAGTAATTTTGAGAAGAACAAAAAGTTGGATGATTCATGTTACATGATTTCAAGGCTTATTATAAAGGTACGGTTATCAAAACTGGTATTGGCAAAGGACTCCCACTGAGCTCAGTGGAACAGAAGAGTCCAGAAATACACCCACACAAATAAAATGAACTGAATTTGAGCAAAGGTGCAAGGCAGTTCAGTGGAGAAAGAAGAATTGCAACATGTGGTGCTGGAGAAAGTGTCCTCCCACACACAACAAAGCAAACCTTGACACCACACATCTTACTAAAAACAAACTCAAAATGGATCATAGACCTAAATGTAAGATACAAAGCTACAGAATCCCTAGAAGAAAATACAGAGGAATTCTGCATTTTCATTTTTATGTAATGACATCACAAGCACAATCTGGAAAAGGACAAAAGTTTTGTAAAAGCTGAAACTGTTTGAAAACTAAAAATGCTGTGTGAAAGATACTATTAAGAAAACGAAAAGATAAAATTACAGACTGGGGAAAAAAATATCTACAAATCACACAAAAAATTTGTATACAGAATAAAGAAGTTTTCCAACTCCTGACAAAAATAAATCACCCACCTAAGCTTTAAAAAATGGGCAGATTATGTGAATATTGTTGCATATCTACTCATAGTGTTGAATATAACATTAGGAAAAGAAGCTCCATGTTAGTAGAGTAATGCAAATTAAAATGAGGATGATCTCTCACACCTATTAGAATGGCTTAAAATTAAAAAGCTGATGGTACCAAGTGCAGATGACACGACCGAACAGAAACTCGTAGTCACTGCTGAGGGGAATGCAAAACAATAAAACCCCTCTGGAAAAGTTTGGAATTTCTTATAAAGTTAAGCATCTGCTTACCTTATGAGCCACCAATCACACTCCTAGGCAGTTCACCAAATGAACTGAAAACAAAACCTATGTTTATAGCAGCTTCACTTATAATTGCCCAAAACTGGAAACAACCCAGATTCCTACAACAGAGGAGCAGAAAACCAGGTATACCACTCAGCCATAAGAAGGACTGAACTTCTGAATCTCACAGCAACAGGCACGAACCTTCCATGCATTTTTCTATGGGTAAAAAGCCAGACCCCAAAGGCTATGCGTTATATGCTTCCATTTACAGGATTCTGGGAAAGGTTAAAATTAGCACAGAAAACAGATGAGTGGTTGGGAATGGGGAAAAGGGTCTTCTCTGGCCCTGTGGTGGGGGATTCGTGAGTATGCACTCGTCAAAGCCCAAAGAACTGTGCACGCTAAAAAGTGACTCTGTATGCACATTAAAATCAGCCAGGATTTTGGAGGGATTCCGGTTTGGAAGGTAGATAATGACAAATGAGTCTACTTGTATTAGAAGCATATGCCATATACTCACTGGAAGGGATGGCTAAGAGAGGAGCTGACCCATGTGACTTAGAAAAATGGTGATCTGACTGGATCCTGTAAGGCTCAAGACAAAAAGAACTTACAGAAATTGTGAAGTTTCACAGGTTCCGGGTTAGCGACTCTCAAAGTACAATAATGAGAAGCATGTGCAAGTCAGAAAAAGCAGTTAAAAATAAGCTGTGTCAGAATTAACCTTGTAGAGCTGGACTGGTGTCTGAGAGCTCTAAGAATTCATGCTTACATTCAGACGTAGATGTTGTATTTCTGTGCA